TAACATCAATGGGCCTATAGCTTGACCAGCTTCGCTACCAACGTTTCCTATGGCTCAAGCGAGTAAAAAACATAAAGCTACTACTTTACAGGTTAGGGTTCCAAAAAACTACGGTTTTAAATTTTTCTCAGATAACTACCAAGTCAAGGGTCGGCTGTTTCAAAAAACTCAAAACGCTGAGTACTTATCAATTGATCACGTATGACAGGTGAGCCCGATGCGTAAGAGCTCTAATTGTTTGACCGTTTGTTTGACCCTTAGGGATGGGCTTGCACACAAATTTAAAAAAGCAATCAGGTCCCTCCATTTTTTGCAAAAAGCAATCTGGTCCTTGCTCCAGATCAGGGCAACCATGGCGCTACTTCTCTCGCCCCCGAGTTCTCCTGGCCGAACCTCGCGACGTCGCCTCCTCCGGCCGGCGAGCCGCCCGGCACCCGCCGCAGGTGATCCCCGGGCTCAACCCTGGTCGCTCCTTCACCTCACCTCCATCTCTCCCTGCCTATCTATGCCCCTGCCGACCTGTGCTGCACGACGCAGCCGTGATGCACAACGCTGTAGTGCTAGTGGCCGCCTCTCTGTGCCGGCTCCCCACGGCAGGCCGCGAGCCGTGGTAACCCCATGACAGGCGGCGACCCCCAGCCAGTCCAGATGGCGGGCAACGGTGCAGTGACCCGAGGGTACCCCATGGCGGGCGGCACGGCGGCCCTCAGCGCCTCCAGATGGCGCGCGGCAGCGCGGCGACCCATGCCGGACCCCATGGCGCGCGGCGGAGACTCCAGACGGCGCGCGCGGCAGGGTCGCCGGCCTCTTGTATGCCTTCTCGTCTCCACCTTGCCACCAGGAGCTCTGGCGAGCTCCATCAACAACAGCGGAGGGGGGACATGAAGTGGCATAGGGCGGTGGCCGGACGTGGCACTGGACGGCGGCGTGGAGTGTGGTCGGCGGCCATGGCGGTTCTGTGCTGTTCTTGACGGACGGCGGCGTGGAGTGTGTTCAGCGGCCATGGATGTTCTGTGCTGTTCTTGACGAGCAGGGAGAGTGGGAGGAGAAGGGAGGCAGAGAGGAGAAGAGGAAGATAAGAAGAGAGACTGACGTGCGGGCCCCACATGTCAATTAGCGGTCAAACTACCAGTCGAACTAACGCTTCGTTTAGGTGTGGGCCTAACCTATCATAATCGTGTTCAATTGATAAGCACTCGGCGATTTGGGTTTTTCGAAACAGCCGACCACCTATTTAGTAGTTATCTGAGAAAATTTAAAAATCGGTAGTTTTTTGAAACCCTAGCCTGTAAAGTAGTTTTATGCTATTTACTCGGCTCAGGCACAGGGTACATCATAAGGTGCGGCTGCTCCGATGGATACCAAGGCAACCCTTACCTTGTTGATGGATGCCAAGGTACCACCATTCGTTCGCCTCTATTTCTTATCCATCACCTTCTTTGTTAGTTCCTTGTTATTCTACCTTTACATTGTTGTTACTTCCTAATTAAACTGCTAAAACAACATATATTATGGTACAGAGGTAGTAGAATACATCGTCCACTTTTCCACACCATTTAGGGGTTTATACATGTGAATTTGCTCTTATATGCAGTTTAACATAGTACATTAATATTAACACAAAGATATCTCGTATTCATGATCCGGTCAACAACACGTTGTCCATCCATTATAAAAAAATTAAAAATTAATAATCATGGCCGGCCTATTTGATTCCATGTCTATTTAAGAACCGGACAAATCTTGAGGTAAGTTAAAGTGTTGCTCATCTTTGACCGCGTGCTTAGAGTTTGGGTTGCGGTCACCTGGTTGGTACATGGAACCTAATATATATATAGCTATGTGAGTACAACCACTTCATGAAGCTGGGCTTCGAAACCAAGTGGGGAAAACACCTGGGTCAATCGATAGCACATAACAAATCCAATAGAAGGGTGTGGCTAGCTCTCATCTAGATGAAAAATAATTATGTCCCATCTAACGCCCACACCGTTTGATTTTAGGTGGAGATTCGTGGAGATTTTTTTATTTCTTGTTTGATTAATCAAATAGCATAGGATAAATCATGGTCTCGAAACTTGTTTCATGTAGTCGATCAACTAAATGTATTATATTTGAATTAACAAAGCGACCAGGTTGTTTCATGTCTACTTCGTAAGTGCAATCAAAAGTCAATTCAATTTTATTTGAATTAACAAAGTGGTTTGTACATTATCTATAATTATATGTTCTTGGTGGCTTGATTTAAAGACCGTAATTTGATTACCCCAGTACTGTTAAACATGATGTACTGCCGTACATGTTGGGCATACTGGGGCGCATTGTAACATATCTTAACAGGAGTACTTGGGCCGTAGGTTAGGAGGTTAGAGGTGTAGTTTATCTTCTGTAACCATAATTCTATCTTTGTCTAGCTTGATCCCCAAGACGTAATCTCTTCTATAAGATCTCAACTGTATGCGCTATCAGGGAGGTGTGCCCCTGCCTATAACACGTACGGGGTCCCCACTTGATGAGGTAAGCCGTTTTCACTAAACACATAGAAATAATTCAATAATTCACTTTCAGTATGTCGGTATGTCTTCTAAGGAGGAAGCAAGTTGGATCCCTAGCTAGCTTTCAAGGAGTAATTCTCCGCGTGAAGGGAAGACTCAAGAGAGGAAGACTTGCAAGCGGCATGCATTGTCATGTTGGGACCACTCCCTCTTTCAATTATTAGTACCTGTTGTTGTTATTGTTATTGATGAAGTGAGTGGCCATGTTATTCAAACTTGCAACACCACTGTGGGTCCTCAATAGTTAAGCCGTTAAAGCTGATCTTTCAACAAACCATCCTCAATACTCCCTCCATCTAGGTGAGTAAATCATCTTAGGCTGTGCACCGTGACCAAGAAGGAGGGGAAAACGAGAGACACTAATGTTTATTTACTAATTAATAGTATTGCATGCAATAAACTAACCATTGCATGTCGTGTTTGATAGTCTCAAGTCATTAAAAGCATGCACACCCTTGTCTCTTATTGGTTGATATGTCAAAAAATAAGAAACGAGGTAGAAGTTAATGCACCGCGCCTAAGTGTTTTGGGATTATTTGGTTTTCGTAAGATGACTTATACACCTAGATGGAGGGAGTAGTTGTTTACTTGTACACTGGTTGTTCAAAGCTGGGTTAAATATCAGTATACTTGACAGATTTTTTAATAAGATTAACAACTTAATGCTCTGAGATGTTGACATAAAATGTAAGAATACATATATACGGTAGTTGCCCACATTACTTAAGAAACGTGACAGCTGACGGCCTCCACACAATGAGCATCTCACAAAGAGAGACGTGATGCCATTTAATCTCAACTTGGGAAAAGTCCATTCAAGCTTCCGCGAAAATACTTCCGCCATGCACCACTCAATCGCCATTGCCAAGCTCGCCTTGCTCCTCGCCACTGCAGCCGTGTCCTGCGGCTTCTTCGTCGTCGCACATGCACATGCGCAGAAGAGCTGCTGGCCACGCGAGAGGGACGCGTTGCTGGCCTTGAAGCAGGGCATCAACGACACGGATGGCGTCCTCGCCTCGTGGCAAAAACTGCGCCATGACTGCTGCCGCTGGACGGGCGTCGCCTGCAGCAACGAAACCGGCCATGTCACCGAGCTTGACATCGGTCTCAGCTGGTTGTTCGGCCAGATAAGTCCTTCCTTGCTTTCTCTCCAGCATCTCGAGTACCTGGATCTCAGCACCACCTCCCTACTTGGACCAAACGGCAGCAGTGTATTCCTAGATTTCTTGTCTTCTTTGCACAACTTGAGACATCTCGATCTCGCCGGCACGCCATACTCTGGTAGAGTTCCTGCTCGGCTTTCCAACCTTTCAAATTTGGAGTATCTCGATCTTAGTGGGACATCCCTGCATGGTCATGCTCCAGAGTGTTAAACATCATGTCACGATGGTGTCACGTTGGCTATATGTCATGTTTATCTTAGGTAGTTAGAGATAGAGTTTGTTTTAACTTCCTCTTATCTTTCTATCTCTTCTCCCGATTGTATCTCTCGATCGTTAGTCCACGATCGCATCCTGTAACGCCACGAGACGCCTCTCGCTCCATTTCAATATATATCACGCGGCTCTCCCTGTATGGACAGTAGGAACGCTTCCACCACTTTCCACATGGTATACAGAGCCATCTTCTTCCATCTCGTCTAGCTATCCTTCTCCCAAACTCGACTATGTCGACCTCTACCGCCGTAGTTTCCTCCGGCCTCAACAACAACGTTTCAGAGCCCCTCACCAGATCGAACTACATTCTCTGGCGTGCTCAAGCCCGCTCCCAGATCATGGGGGCCGGCCTCTTTGGATACCTCGACCAAACCATCGCCGAACCAGCAAAAACCCTAGTCAGCAAAACCTCCGAGGGCAAAGATCAGGTCGTCCCTAACCCTGCTTATGCTCCTTGGTTGATCCAAGATCAACAAATCATTGCCTATCTACTCCGCAATCTCTCAAAGGAGGTACTAGTTCAGGTTGCTTCCCTAGATACATCCCATGCAATCTAGATAGCCCTCGCAAATATGTTTTCCGCCCAATCCCGCTCCAAAGCAAACCACGTTCGCATCTCCCTCACCACCGCCCAGAAAGGAACCCAATCTGCCGCCACATACTTCGGTCACATGCGAGGCCTTGCCGATGAGTTAGTCGCAGCCGGCAAACCTATCACAGAAAATGAGCTCGTCTCCCACATCATCTCTGGCCTAGACATGGATTACCAACCGATTATCTCTGCCCTTGATGTTCGTCCTGATGATGTTTCTGTAGATGAGCTCTTCGGCATGGTTGCTACCTTCGATCAGAGGGTGGAGATGTTCCAGGGCACGGGCGCAGGCGCCTTCAAGTCGTCGGCCAATGCCGCATCGCGCGGCCGTGGAGGTGGCCAGCCCAAAGGCTACCGCGGCAACGGTGGCGGCGGCGGCGGCTCCCGTCGTGATGGACATGGCGGCGGTGCCCACAACCCCATCGGTGGCGGCGGTGGCCACTACGGTGACCACGACAACCAGTACGGGGGTGGTGGCGGCGGCCACTACTCCAACAACGGCGGCGGCGGCTACAACTACAACACCCATCACCAGGGAGGAGGCCGACCCTTCTACAACAACAATAGGGGCAGTCAAAACAACTACAACAACAACAACTTTCGCGGGTATGATGAGTATGAGGGCAAGTGCCAAATTTGTAAGAAAACTAATCACATAGCAAAAGAGTGCAAGTGGCGATATGCTGAAGATAACTCACGCAAGAAGAAGATTGCTGATGCGGCAAACACAGGCTATGGTGCAGGCTATGGTGCATATTCAAACTGGTATGTGGATTCTGGAGCCACGGACCACATCACCCATGAGCTAGAGAAGGTCACCATGCATGAAAGATACAACGGGCACGATCAAGTTCATAATGCCGATGGTTCAGGTATGGAGATAAGCAATATTGGTCATTCAATTATTCATTCCCCGCATAGGGACATACATCTTAACAACATTCATCATTGTCCTAGTTCATCGAAAAACCTTCTTTCTGTGCATCGCATTGCTCTTGACAATCATGTTTTTCTAGAGTTTCACCCATTCTTTTTCTTGATCAAGGATCAGGTCACGAAGCAAATTCTTTACCGAGGTAGATGCGTGGATGGACTCTACCCTTTGATTCCCAAAGTTAGCAGATTCAATAAACAAGTGTGTAGTGCCATTAGACTCTCTTTAGAGAGATGGCATGCCCGTTTGGGCCATCCTTTTTTTTCTATTGTCAAGCAAATTCTTAGCAAAAATAATCTCTCAGTTGTTGGAGAGCATAATTCTGAAACAGTGTGTGATTCTTGCCAAAGAGCTAAAAGTCATCAGTTGCCATATCCTGTCTCAACTAGTGTGTCTACTAGACCTTTACAACTCATATTCTCTGATGTATGGGGTCCTGCTCCTCTTTCCGCTGGTAAACATGCTTATTATGTTAGCTTCATTGATGACTTTAGTAAATATACGTGGATATACCTTCTCAAGAAAAGATGTGATGTGTTCCAAGTTTTCCAAAACTTTCAAGCACTTGTTGAAAGACAATTCAATAGCAAAATCCTCGCTGTTCAATCCGACTGGGGTGGTGAGTACGAAAAACTCAATTCTTTTTTTCAAATGTTGGGAATATCTCACCATGTCTCCTGCCCCCATGCTCACCAGCAAAATGGCTCGGCAGAGCGCAAACACAGACACATTGTTGAGGTAGGTCTTGCTTTGCTTGCCGCTGCGTCCATGCCATTAAAGTTTTGGGATGAAGCTTTTCTCACAACTGTGCATCTCATTAATATTCTACCCAGCCGTGTCATCAAAAATGAAACTCCCACCGAGCGTCTCTTACATGTCAAACCTGATTATGCTCCACTTCGTGTCTTTGGGTGTGCATGTTGGCCCAATCTCCGTCCATACAATAACCGTAAACTCATGTTTTGTTCGAAACAGTGTGTTTTTCTTGGCTACAGTGTACAACATAAAGGAGTTAAGTGCCTAGATGTCTCTACCGGTCGAGTGTATATCTCCCAGGATGTTGCATTTGACGAAACTCAGTTTCCCTTTGCCACACTCCATCCCAATGCCGGTGCTCTTCTTCGCAAAGAAATCCTTCTTTTGCCTTCTAGTCTATCAAATGGTGCAAATGGGGAAGAAAATAATTGTGATGATCAATATTTGCCTAACCCTCCTAACTTTATACCTGAGCTTTGTGTTGCAGCGATAAACAGTGCAAATGATGGTGAAAATGGTGTTCAAAACGGCGCTACAGTGCGACATTTTATGTGCACGGAATCTCCTGGCGGATCCTCATCGGGATTACCCCCCTCTGCCATGCAATGCGCCTCGGGATCCACCCAGGCACCTCCTGTCCACGTCCCATCAGCAGCGCCCCGATCTACTTCGGGATCGGCGCGACCGGCTGGGCCACCACCTGGTCCTCCCGCCTCTCCACTCGCGGACCGGCCCAACCAACCTGAGGGCTCCGCGTGCCGCTCTCCTGCGCCTGGGCCCGAGCCTGGGCCCGCCACTCCCGCGGTCTCCCCGACCGGGAGACAGCCGCGCCTGCCCGCGACGTGGGCCTGGTCGCCTCGCCTCGTCCCGAGGCGACTTCGGGATCGGCCGCTGTCAGCGCACCAGGATCCCCCTCGGGATCTGCTGCGGCTGATCATCCTCTGGAGCCCGGATCTTCTGTAGCTCCTTCTTCTGGAGTCTGTTCTACACGCACCAGGTTGCAACAGGGAGTTATTAACAGACTTAATTACAAAAATATTTCCAAGTATGGCATCACGTGTTTGACAGGGGAATCTGTTGAACCAAAGTCGCTTGCTGCTGCACTTGGGGACAATAGATGGAAACAAGCAATGGAGGATGAAATATCTGTGTTGCAACGTAACAAGACATGACATTTAGTTCCTCATCGACAAGGTATAAATCTCATTGATTGCAAATGGGTCTATCGAGTTAAAAGAAAATCTGATGGCACTATTGATCGCTACAAAGCTCGCTTAGTTGCAAAGGGTTTCAAGCAACGGTATGGTATTGATTATGAGGACACGTTCAGTCCAGTTGTCAAAGTAGCAACTATTCGTCTTGTGCTCTCTCTTGCTGTTTCCAGGGGATGGAGTCTTCGCCAGCTAGACGTACATAACGCGTTTCTTCATGGTGTTCTGGAAGAAGAGGTGTATATGAAACAACCTCCTGGGTTTACAGATCCCAATGCACCCTTCCATGTTTGTAAGCTTGACAAGGCCCTGTATGGACTCAAGCAAGCCCCCAGAGCTTGGTATTCTAGGTTGAGTATGAAGTTGCAAGCACTTGGGTTTGTTCCATCAAAGTCTGACACTTCTCTGTTTATTTACAACAAGTTTCAAACTGCCATCTTTGTTCTTATATATGTTGATGATATAATTGTGACTAGCTCGTCCAATGAAGCAATTACAGCCTTGCTCAGTGATCTTAGATCAGAATTTGCTCTCAAAGATTTGGGGACTTGCACTATTTTCTAGGCATTGAAGTTAAGAAAACTGATCATGGCATTCATCTTTCTCAAGGAAAATATGTCACTGACTTGTTGAGCAGAGTTGGCATGCAGGATTGCAAGCCGTCACCGACCCCCCTGTCAAGTTCAGAAACCTTGTCTCTCACAGAGGGGACACTCCTGAATCAGGATGACAGCACTAGTTACAGAAGTATAGTTGGTGCACTTCAATACTTAACACTTACTCGTCCTGACATCTCATTTGCAGTCAACAAGCTCTGCCAGTTCTTGCATGCACCTACCACAGCTCACTGGACAGCAGCAAAACGCATCTTACGGTATGTCAAGAACACTGTCAGTATGGGTCTTTCCATCAACAGATCATCCTCCATGGGCATTAGTGCCTTCTCTGATGCGGATTGGGCTGGCTGCTTGGATGATAGAAGGTCCACAGGGGGATTTGCCATCTTTCATGGCCCAAACCTAGTCTCTTGGTGTGCAAAGAAACAAGCCACTGTTTCTAGATCGAGCACTGAAGCAGAATGCAAAGCCTTGGCAAATGCCATAGCTGAAGTCATTTAGATCCAAGCAATACTAAAGGAGTTGGGAATACTGAAAACCCCAACACCTTGTCTTTGGTGCGATAACCTTGGTGCAACTTATCTGTCTGCTAACCCAGTTTTCCATGCCAGGACCAAACACATCGAGATAGATTTTCATTTTGTCAGGGAACGAGTTGCTAACAAAGAATTAGATATCGATTCATTTCATCCAAGGATCAAATTGCAGATGGGTTTACAAAGGCGCTACCAACCAGAAGCTTTGAAGTTTTTCGGCGTAATCTCAACCTAGTTCGGTTTTGATTATGGGGGAGTGTTAAACATCATGTCACGATGGTGTCACGTTGG